CCCGCCACCCTCGCCGCCGAGACCATGGCTGCGGACAGACCTGCCCAAAGTTTCCGCGACGAAGCCTCCTGCTCCATCTGCACGGGCTTCTTCCGAGACCCCGTCTCCATCCACTGCGGGCACAACTTCTGCCGGGCGTGCATCACCCGCTGCTGGGAGGAAACCGAGGAGAATTTCGCCTGCCCGCGGTGCAAAGAGACGGCGCCGCAGAGAAACCTGAGGCCCAACCGGGAGCTGGCAAAAATCATCGAGATCGCCAAGCGGCTGAGCCTGCGGGCAGCCAGAGGAGGGGCAGGGGGGCAGAGGCTGTGCGAGAAGCACCAGGAGGCTCTGAAACTCTTCTGCGAGGAGGACCAGACCCCCATCTGCCTGGTGTGCAGGGAGTCCCAGGCTCACCGGGTCCACGCCGTGGTCCCCGTCGAGGAGGCTGCGGAGGAGCACAAGGTGGGAGATCTCCGTGCAGTGGCGGGTGTGGGGACGAGGGAGGAAGGAGGGGTCCGCGTCGGGGAGCTGCCCTCTGCTTGCAGACGTCTGGATTTGAACCCTTTTGGGTCTGCTTTCTGCGTCGTGGCTTTACAGCCACCCCCACCCTGCCTGCTCTGTGCTCCCCCTTGCTTGCATTGCTGGTCACCCCGGCTGGCATTTCCATACCACCGCGGTGTCCTCGTAGGAACGATGCTGGAAAGGAGCCCAGGAGATCGTCTAACCCCGCCTCCTGCCCGAAGCGGGGTCAGCTACGCTGTCTCGGACGTTTGGGGTGCAGGAGATGCTGCACGCCGATGTAGGGGACAGAATCTGGTCAGCGCTGAGCGCAGGCTGAACCTGAGCAGGGGCCAGCAGGGTCTCCCCGATCGATTCAAGCCCCTTTTCTGCTGATTTGGTCCTTTGCCTGAGCCTTTTCCAATCCGTGCTGTGAATTTCACCCTGGTTGTTGGAGAAAGCAACTCGTTCTGGCCGCCCTGCCCTTCCAGAAATCAGGGTTTATGATTTCCCAGAGACAGATTATCATGTTATTAAGCAGGGAAGAATCTGAGTTTGTAGGAGATAAACCTGGATAGGCGGGATGAGGGTAGAGGGATGGACCAGCTAGAGGAAGAAAATGCGCCAACAAGGTGTTTCTTGTCCGCTCAGGAGAAATTCCAGGCTCACGTGCAGATCCTGAAGGAGAGGAGAGAAAAGCTGCAGGGGCTGAAAACGGCCGAGGAAGGGAAAAGCCGGGACTTCCTCGTAAGTGCCTGTCCCTGGGTGGTGATGGGTTTCTCCCTTCCCTTTCGGTTGTCCCTCTGGCCATGGCGATGGGATGTGGAGGCACGAGACGTGCCATGGCCACGGATCGCGTCTCCACGGGCCCTTGCACGTGCACGGGAAGGTACTCTCTGCTGGGGTAAGTCCTGGGCAGTGCTGACAGCCTGTCCCCAGCGCAGATTAAAGAACATCCCCTTTTCCCCCCAAGTCTCCTGCTCCTTGTTCGTCTTCGCAGGCCAGGAGCATGCGTTGGATTTTGCCGGGTTGTTGTTGATCTTTTTCTTCCTCGGTTTGCTCACAAGTGGGGCGCGCTCCCAGATTCTCCCTGTTAATACGTACAGAAAATGGGAATTGCCCAATTGCTTCTTTCTTGCCTTGTTTTCCCTTTCCCCGACCTCTTTCGCCGACTAATCCGTTTATGGTTTTATTTCATATCTTCCCTTCTTGTTTAAAGGTCTGGAACGTTTCAGGTACAAAGATTACAGTCTGTGGGAAACGTCCTTTGCCAGCAAGTTCAGCCCAGAAGTGGCAAAAATGACGTCTTAATTATTCCTCTGCTCTGCCACAGGCGCTGGAATTTATGGCTGCTTGATAAGTCACCGCATTAAATCAGCTCCGCTGCGATTTTTCTTGACCATTTCTGTCTCCAGCCCTGCCTCTCCCTCGCCTGCGTCGGTTCTCGTTGCAGGAACAAGTGGAAAAGGAGAGGCAGAAGGTTGTGTCTGAAGTCAAGGAGCTCCACCAGTTCGTGGAGGGACAGGAACGTCTCCTCTTGGACCGGCTGGCAAAGCTGGACCAGGAGATCATGAGGAGAGAGGAGGAGAGCATCAGCAGGCTCTTGGAGGAGATCTCCTCCGTCAGCGAGCAGATCCGTGAGCTGGAGGAGAAGTGTCAGCAGCCAGCGTGTGAATTCCTGCAGGTGAGACCTCGGGCCCCTCCGAAGCCCGTTGGCCCTGAACACCACCGGTGTCGCCAGTCCAGGAGTCTAATCCATTCTAAACGCTCCTTTCAAAATGTATCTTTCAAAGCTTTTTTTAAAAAATTCAATTGTTTTCTTCAATGACCACAAGCATGGCCCAACCGTCCACTTGAACATCTTAAACCAACCACAGTCTGCTTCAGTCACGGTGTGTTTACACGGCTGTGGGATTCACCCGCCTGGTTGTACACGCCCACACCCAAACCCATCGTCCCGGTTCCTTCATGCGCGGCGGAGGAACGGCAGGCCCCCGCCTCGTCCTTAGGCAGTCACCCAAACCCATCGCCCGGGCCCACCTCCAAGCTCTGGTTGACTCCAGACCTAAAACGTTCAAATGCGCGGCAGCAGCGGCGTGCACCAGCAGCAGTAACGCCCGTCCTGGGAGAGCAGGGACGCGGGAGGCGGGGAACGACAACAAGCGGCTCGTTAAGCGGCGTTGCCGTGACCTCGCCGAACTCCCCAGCGGATCTGCAAACACTGTGCAGGCAGATCGCTGCTTGGGGACTCGTTTTAGACCCGCCACTTAGGCAGAGCAGTGCCTTGAGCTGCCCGAGGCCACCCCACAGCCCTGCGGTAGCTGCTTGTGGTTTATTCTCAGCCTGACCTTGGCCTCACCTAATGCTCCTTCTCTCATCTTTCCCTTGTAGGACAGCAGAAACATCCTGAGCAGGTTTGCGGCTCCTTTCACGTGTTCTTGTGGCGTTAACGTTGTCTGTCTCTACGGTGGTGACACTGATGGGCTCCGAAACCCCAGCCACTCATGGTCCCAGGGTGCTAGGGACTGTGGAGTTGCACAGGAGACAACTAGGCTGCTGCAAAAGGTCCAAGTAGGATGCTGAAGAGCAGGGAAAGGTATCAGATGGGACAATGGTACCTCCAGCTCTGCTGCAGCTTCTTCTCTATAGTCCGCCCAAACCTGCCTATTCCTGGAGGGCCGAGCTTCGCTCCCGGCCCTCGTGAGCCCACCAAAAATAACAAGCCAGCCGCTAAAAACACGCGGAAGTTTAAACGCTAAGGAGGGCAGCCGGGTGGAAGGGAATCCAGTATGAACGTCCACCACCCCTATAACCGACCTCTTCGTGTCCTCTTTGGACGTGGATCGAGAAGGTGGGTTATTGGAAGGACAAAAGCGGGCGAGGAAAGGCATTTTTTGTTGCCTGCATTTCCCTTGGTGCGGGGCGCTACTGGTCACGGCAGAAAGCCTTGAATATCCAGGGACTCTTCACCGGTGTGTGGGAACAAACCAGGGGCGTACCCTGGGCCAGCAAACCCCTCTCCAGGACCTCGTTACCGAGCGCCCCAGGACCGAGTCTTCGCTCTAGTCCTGCTGTGACTCGTTTCTTTAGAAGAAATCCCGGCTGAAAGTCGGTCAGTGCATAATGGCAATTACGAGTGAAGGAAGTGCTATTAGAAAGGTCTTCCTTCTTTCCAGGCTTGAGAAGGACGGTGCCCAGAAGCCAGCGGAGACGTCGCCCGGGCTGGGAGAGGAACCCACCGGTGTTCCTCAGAAAAGTATTGCCCTCAAAGAGATGCTGATGAAATTTCAAGGTACAGGGAAACCGGGGAGGAGAGGGTTTGAGGGTGCGCTGGGTCTCTCTGCCGCAGGTGTAAGGAAGGAGGTCTCGGCTAGGTAGGAAGGGTCCTGGTGAAATGCTGTGGAGAGATATTTCCGACACGCCCTGCAGAGCTGTAGCCGTATTAGCGTAGCAAGAAGCAATTCCTCCGGTTGATTACGTGAGAGCGGGCGAGTTTGCCTCCCAGCAGAGCTCGGGGAGCACGGTACGAGTCGGGGTGCTGCGGGACCTCACGGAGGGTCGGCGTCACCTTTGGAAATCACCTCTCTGAATGAAACCAAAGGTGAAAATTGCAAATATTTCCACGTGGGGAATTCAAAAGGAGAGTCGTGGGACACCTTCCCTCTTTTCAATGGCCTGGAGACTCCCAGCAGCAACAGCCACGCTTCAAGGCCTTATTTTTACTCTAAATCAAGTTCCCTTCATGCAGCCGTCTTTTCTGCTCTTCTGATGCTGCTCGTGGGCACAAAACCGTTCCTGCTCTGCTCCAGCGAACTGGGAGCTGGAGCATCCCAAGGTCGAGCTGAAGCATCCCAAGGTCGAGCTTGGATGGGGAAAAACGTGCCCCTAAAGCCCTCGAGGAGCGAGCTGTACCTGTGATGCTCGTCTTCTCTCTGTCCCCAGTGAGTCTGACGCTGGACCCAGAGACGGCGCATCCCCGGCTCGTCCTGTCCGAGGACCGCAAGCGCGTGCGGTGGGAAGACACCCGCCAGCCCGTACCCGACAACCCCAAGCGCTTCGACTCGTCTCGCTGCGTCTTGGGCTGCGAGGGTTTCAGCGCGGGGAGGCATTACTGGGAGGTGGAGGTGGGCGATGGGGAAGCCTGGGCTGTTGGGGTGGCCAAGGAGTCGGTGAGGAGGAAGGGACGGATCAGCGTCAACCCCAAGGTGGGGATCTGGGCGGTGGGGCAGTGTGGGAGCCAGTACCAGGCTCTCACCTCTCCTACCATCCCCATCTCCCTGCTCGCTGCCCCCAAGGTCATCGGGATTTACCTGGACTACGAGGCGGGGCGAGTGGCATTTTTTGACTCGAAAAACGAGGCGCCGATCTTCACCTACCCCCCGACATCCTTTGCGGGGGAGCAAATCCTCCCCCTGCTCTGCCTGGGGAGGGGGTGCCGGTTCACGCTCTCCCCCTGACGCCCCCCCATGGGACAAGCATCCGCTCGAGTCTCCCTTGACGGGGTCTTGGGAGACCGCGGGGGCTCATCACCCCAGAGATGGCTTTTGGGACCATGAAGAATGCGCTGTCTGGGATGGAAAATACTCCTTTTTCCATCGTTCATGTCAACACGGAGCATCGGTTCGCTCAGAGCTTGTATGGGAGAGGAGCTGCCCTGCTCCTCCAAAAACCCCTGCCGTTTGGAGACGCTGCCCTGGCGCATCCACGCCCATAAACCCTTTCCAAAAACCCCTCTGTCGCAGGACAGGGACAGAGCTGAGCCGAACAAACGCTGAGCCCCCCCTCCACCCTCTCCGACTGACCCTGCATCCCTGCTGCTTGCTGGACCCTTTATTTTTTGGGGCCCACTGAGCTTTTCCGCTCTGCGACTGAGCGTGGATGCTGCGGACGACGATGCAGAAGCCCGGAGGACTTCGTGACGGCGTCGAGTTTGACGTGGTCTCTGACAAGGTGGTAATAATCTAATCCAAGGGTGAGACAGCCAAGACCTGATCTGGTGGGGGGTGGGGGTGGTGTACTTTGAATCGCCAAAAGTACCTGCATCCCTGGGAGGGAACTCGCGTCAGATCGGTGCTTGATGCTGCGTGATGTCCACACCTTTGGACGTTGTAAGGACTCACCTTCTTCATGCGCAACCGTCAAGGCTACGATCCCTCCAGGGTCAGCGGGGAAGGTGGCAAATTGTAATTAATTTCATCTAGAAACAGCTCGAAAAGTGAGAGTGTTTACTTCTCTACTCTGACTACAGAGGGAGCCCAGATCGACGAGACGGCGCGGAGACACGTCTCCTGTAGATGCCTAAAACCGGGAGAAATAAATCCTTCCCAAGGCAGGGCTGGCTTTAACCTCTTACTGAGCAAAAGCCTCGGGCTGAGCTGTTGGCTAATGAATATCTGGGGGCGTAAGGAGGAACCCAGGAGGGACGAAGGGTGCTCACGGGAGCGTTTCCCAGTGGGTGGAGGCAGTGTTTTCAGAGATCCAAACGGGTTGTGCCTTCAATCGCTTGAAAAGCTTCTTCTGCCTCAGCTGCCAAATGCAAAATACAGAAATAGTAAGAAACTGCCTCCTTCGCAGCCTGGGGTCGTGGTTGTTTTTGTCGTTTTGTGGTGGTTTTGTTGTTTTGCGGTTGTTTTGTCCTGGCGCTTCAAGGGAAGCGAATGGGAACCTCCGCGAAACCCCCAGCTGGGCAGAGCAAGGTCTTCTGCTAGCGATCACCACTTCTGCTCAAAATCCCAAGAGTTTCAGCCTTGAAGTCCTAGTTAGGAGCCAAAATGCATTTCAGGAGCTTGGCCCCAGGTGATTGCAGACGTTCTCGCAGGCCTCCACGCACCCGGGGGTACGCAAAACCCTTCTGGGAGCTGCCGCGCGCCCCGGAATTAATGATTTTTCGCACGCTGAGAACGGCCCCGCTCGCTCGCTTTGCCTCTGCGGGAGAATCCGCAGCGGGAGCGGCACAGCCAGCGCTTCTCGTCACGCGACGGCGAAGCGGTGCGCCCCAGGGAGAGCACGGCCGGCACGAGCCTCTCCAAACTGGTTCCCAGTAACAAGCTGCGTGCGAGGGGAGCGAGGGGTGGTTCTTGCTTCCTTTGCCTCCAAGAAACGCTTGGGTGTGGGTGAATCTGATCGCCGGCCGGGTGGGAAATGCCGCCGTGTGGCGGGGGACGGCCGTGGGCTGGGTGCTGGGGCAACCCTTCTGCCTGAGCTGCAGCGAGGAGGGGGCGAGGTGGAGGGGGCGGTGAGGGCAGGGTGAAAAAGTGGCAATAAACGGGAAATAGATCCAAAAAATCACGGTACTTGATGCTGCCTGCAATCCAGCAGCG